AAATATCTTGAAAACCGTTCACCGTTTCAAACTAAACGCAGAGCATCTTTTTTGCGTAAAAATGTACTAGCATTTTATGTCATTTATTGAAATTACAGTGTCTATAAGGATAAAAGAAGTACCACCAGTAGTACTGTCTATCCTGCAACCTAACCTAACTTCTAGAAATGTTCTTACTCTTAATAATTTTCTGTAGTGCGCTGACACATCTATTTCCTGCCATTCTTGAGTTACATTTGGATTCATTAGAAATACGACTTCTAGATATGTGAATGTATCTACTTCCTCAAACTTGTATCGTTTACCTCTTTCAGAATTAATTTGTAGACATCTTCCCTTCTCAAAATCCCTATCTGACCACTCCATAAATTTCGTTTTCTTCTCATTAAACACTAAGCCTACTTTCTGCGCTTGATTTTCTAGTCTTTTGGTAACCGATATCAGCTCTTTTCGATCTCTTGCTAAGATAACTAAATCATCGGTAAAGGCTAAGCATTGTTGTCTTTTTGTACACAGAAGGCCCTCTCTGTTGATTCCCGCATCTTTTATAACTTTTTCTAATACTACACTAAACAGTACTGGAGATAGTGGATCCACCTATCTTAATCCGTCCCTGATTATAAAATTTTCCGTTGTTTTCTTGTTTACTTTGAATTTTCATTTACTGTCTCTTGAAGTGTCAATTTTATCATCATGGTCAGTTTCTTGCTAACCCCTAATTCTGTTAATGCTCTAAACACCTCTCGATTAACTTTGTCATATGCCTGCTGAATATCGATAAATAGGAGTATTGTCTGTTTTCCGTATTCATAACTCTCCGATTGTATTTCTCTAAGGGTAAATATTTGGTCAACGGTACTTCTTCCTTTCCTAAATCCACATTGGTACTCTCCAGTTTTCTCATCTCCAACAAAACTCACAACCTCCTCAAATATATAAATATCTTTAATGTTTATTTTCAACCAACTAGACTCTTTTCCTACTATATCATATACCTAGTACCTCAACCGCAATATATGCACAGACATATATAAATTTACTAAATTCTAACTGTGGTAATGTGGTTTAACACATAATATAAATGTAACAAATCCGATGTAATCACCTGTAAAGTATTAATAGCGATAATCAATATTTTTATCAGACCGAAACCTTACTTGATAAGCAGACTTTTGTTATTTTGCGGCTTTTTGGCGTTCTAGATAATTAAATGTACAGATTACTTACCCGTAGGACATTAACTATGTCATTATTTTTATTAATTTGATCTTAACGTGATTTGTTTCTATATAAAAATAGCTGTATATTCACGTGATAAATCTCATTTATTTATCCAATATTTCGAAAGATATAAAGGATTAAATTTTGTGTACTTAATAAGGTATATTTTGTTAATAATTGCAAAATTATTATATGTATAGGAAAATCAATATAAGTTGAAAGACGACAAAATAAAAGACTGCACGTCGCTGGTGGTACTTTTTTAATTTGACTTTTAAGTGTCAAATAAAATTCGAAGTTTTGTCATGTATTTTTTGAAATACCGAGTGCGTCTCAAAAGTGGCTCACCCCTATAACTTCTTTATTTTTTCAGATAAAACAACTAGATTTGGTATGTTAGTATATGACATAAATTGGGATTGATTGACGTATTCAATTGTTTTCGGTCACTTCCGGTTTCACCGGAAATGACTACAACTTTTGATTTTTAAATGGCACCCTCGGTATTTTTTTACTTTATTTGATAGAAAATGACACTCTGAATCGAATGACATATCATATGTCAACTTTTGACATTTTGGCATATGGCCTATTTGAAATTGTAACATGCGGTTCATAACGACAATTTGACTCAAAATACCAAGTGTGTGGTATCAAATTATTCGTAAAAAATGCTACTGAACCACCCTCGTTCCATTTGAAAAAATTAAGATATGATTAAAAATACGATTTGAGCATCTTTTAACTGGCCAGAACAAGACAGTAAAAACATTCGACGATCAAATCTATTTTTCCAAGGCTTCTTGATTAAAAATTAGTGTTTTTAATACAGCCATGGCACTCTAGATTGAAATTTAAAATAGAATTTATTTTTGAGTGATTATGTCAAAAATTGACATATGATATGTCATTCGATTCAGAATGTTATTTTCTATCGAATAAAATAAAAAAAATACCGAGGGTGCCATTTAAAAATTAAAAGTTGTAGTCATTTCCGGTGAAACCGGAAGTGACCGAAAAAAATTGAATACGTCAATCAATCCCAATTTATCTCATACACTAACATACCATATACTATACATATCGTTGTTTTATCTGAAAAAATAAAAAAGTTATAGGGGTAAGCCACTTTTGAGACGCACCCGGTATACATACATTATTACTTTTTTTATGATTACTAACATTAACAAATTTTAATTAAATAAAGTTATTAGCAGGTTTTCTGAATGAAAGCTGAAAAATGTTAGTTCTTATTATTTAACATCAGTCTTCACTTTTTTTATGAGATTCTGAACACTGTAAACACTAATACTGAGCGCAGCTGAAACCTGCTGAAAGATCTATGTATTTTTAATAAAACCGCAAAACTAAAGCTTCTTTCAGAACCTGGCAATTAGTGGAATAAATTCGTAGTAATTGTCGTAGAAGTTTGTTCCTTTAATTTCAATGTAAGCATTCAGAACATCAAAATTAGTGGTAAACACTTTAAATTAGTAGTAAAAGTTATCAAACTTTTAACTTTTCCACTTTATACTTCAAAACTTGCGAGAAATGTCATTTTGGCCTTTGATTAACTTCCGTCAAGAGAAATTGTGGTTAGAAATCAAAAGTTGATTGTTTTACAAGCTAAATATTAAGTTTTCCCTATGGATACAACTGACTAAAGCAAGCTGTTGATTGGCATGGTACAAAGAAAATAAGGTATGATCTATAGCGACTCCAATTTCGTTAAGTTTACGCACACCACCTGTGACGTCATACGCCATACAAAAAAAGACATAAAATAGGGAAGAATTAGGACATAACCCCAACAGTTATGTCAAATCATCGAGCTTGACATTTAAAAAATTGTTTTCACGTTTATTGTGTCATCAAGGTGTCATCTGTTTGACAATTTGAAATTGGCGCGCGGAGCTTGCCGACCAATGGTGCCGTTTATCACCTGTGACGTAGTGACCAACCTGCGCAATATCATACCTTGTATTCTTTGTATCATGGTTGCTAGGATATTCTATTAATTTTAATTGTGTTTTTTAAACATTGTGAATGATCGTAAACTAAAAAGTATAAAGTGTAATCGAAACCACTAACTTATTCCACTAATTGCGAGGTTCTGAATGAAGTTTAACTCTTTCTACTAATTAGAAATGTCTACCACTAATTTGGACGTTCTGAATGCTTACATTGAAATTAAAGGAACCAACTTCTACGCTAATTTAAACCAGTAATTTATTCCACTAATTGCGAGGTTTTGAATGAAGCTGTAAGCAGCAATATCAATGTTTACCTCTTTAACGCTGTCCAACGGCAAGAGTAGGGTTCCCAACCGTCCCGGTTTGGCCGGGATTAACCAGGAATCAGAAAGTTTATCCCGACGAAAGTTTTGCCTTGGCCGGGACCTGGAAATTAAAAATAATATATTTTATTTTCTAAAGTTTAATATCTTGCTTCAATTATTTAAAAGCTTAAAAATAAATGTCCCGGAATCGTCTATGCTCAAGTTGGGAACCCTAGGCAAGAGGGGCTCGCCATTATCTTTTTCCTGTTTAAAATAATTGAGTAGAGACGAGACATGTTGTCGAGGGTCTAAGGGAAAGCATGATAAGCGCCATTATACTAATTTTACAGGAGAGCCAGAAAACGCTCCAATGTGACAACTACTCTACCTGTAATAACTATGCTCTGTAGAGAAAGAAATGAAATAAATATTTAACTTTCAAAATCAGAAAGATCTGTTTTTTTAACCAAAATACAAGATTATAAGAAAAAGGAAAAAGTGCGCTCAACGTTTCAGAGGAATTTTTAGTTATTAAAAATTTAGTTTGGTACCTATAGTTTCGCCAAATTTTTTTGATTTCTCTATAGTATACCGGGTGCGTCTCAAAAGTGGCTCACCCCTATAACTTTTTTATTTTTTCAGATAAAACAACGAAATTTGATATGTTAGTATATGACATAAATTAGGATTGATTGACATATTCAATTGTTTTCAATTTACTACAACTTTTGATTTTTAAATGGCACACTCGGTATTTTTTTACTTTATTCGATAGAAAATGACACTCTGCATAGAATGACATATCATGACATCAACTTTTGACATTTTCGCATATGGTTTATTTGAAATTGTAACATGCGGTTCATAACGACAATTTGACTCAAACTACTAAAGTGTGGTATCAAATTATACAAATATGCTGATGAGCCACCCTCCTTCTATTTGAAAAAAATTGAGATATGATTAAAAATACGATTTGGGCATCCTTTAACCGGCCAAGAAAAGATACTAAAAACATTAAACGTTTAAATCTATTTTTCCAAGGCTCCTTGATTAAGAATTAGTGTTTTTAACACAACCATGACACTCTAGATTGAAATTTAAAATACAATTTGTTTTTGAGCGAATATTTCAAAAATTGACATATGATATGTCATTCGATTCAGAGTGTCATTTTCTATCAAATAAAGTAAAAAAATACCGAGGGTGACATTTGAAAATCAAAAGTTGTAGTCATTTCCGGTGAAACAGGAAGTGACCGAAAACAATTGAATACGTCAATCAACCTAATTTATGTCATATACTAACATACTAAATCTCGTTTTTTTTATCTGAAAAAATAAAAAAGTTTTTTCTTAATTTCAACAATTTCTTTGGTACTGATGCTGTTTTTCTAAGTTGAAAGCGTATACCCTAGCCTATCTTTCAATTATACCTACTGTCACCTTTTTCTCTTTTATTTCTGAAATTCTTCCTCTTTCTTTTTTTCTTTAACTCACAGGTCCAAAACCATTCTAATGCCGGACTAACACAAACTTACACCACTCAAATAAAATGGTATCGGAGGAATCATGCAGATCAGCCAGCAGTGAAGAGAGCATCAAAGAAGAAACGACTCCCGAAAAGAACTTTTGGACCACAACGATATTAAAAGACATGCCAGTTGATGACAAAAACGATAAACGAATTTACGATGACTTCTTTATTTCCCAAATAGTCGAAGAACTGCTTGATCGAGCCTGGCAATCTTCTGAAGGAGATATAGTGATGACGAGAAGTAAAAATCTGAGTTCCCAGGAAAAGATAGCACGTGATCTTAACCGAAATACTTCGATAGTTGTCGAGGACTGGGACGATGAGAGTCCTGTAGAGTGTCGGAATGGGTTTCTTAATATTAGCGCGCTTCAGAGGAGTGCTAGTGAAAGAGTTATATCGCGAACTAAACACGCTGATGAAAACGATAACATCGAAAAGAAGACACCTAAAGAAAAGAAGAAAAAAAGACTATCTTTTCATCTTTTTGGTTTGAACAGGAGCAAATCAAAGGAACATCACAAAAACGACGAGGAATCCGAAAAATATGATAATTTCTCAACCCAATTACCCGTCTTTACCGGCGGGTCTCTAGGTAAATCGCGTAAGTTTGCGTCAGCTTTAGAACTAAGCAACCCAAAACCCGCTTCAACACTACACAAGTCAAACTCGGTTTTCAAAAAACTTCTACACATAGGTGACGATTCGACCAAGTTTCTGAAGCGGTCTTTGAGTTTTCGGGATGTGAGGAAAAAAGAGAAAGAACCGGTGAAAGACAAACAGCAAGAGTGGAAGCAGTCGTTGCAGTCGTTGGTGGAGAGTGATACTAGTGTTAGTTATAAGGACTTGAGTTTCATAGACTACGATGTGTTGAACGAGTTCAGTTACGATGAGCCGGTTCAGTTGAGGCCTGGAGGAAATGAGAGGAGTATTTTCGTGGGCAGGACCCAAAGTATGAGGGAGAAAGTAAGTGGAATATAATTAATAGTTATTTTTTATACAGGGTGGTCCGAATTGTATTCGGGAAACTTCGGCAGCATTTTCTGCACATAAAAATAATTAAGAAAGAAATATTTATTTCCAAAAATGCCTCATTTCAGAGATACAAGGTGTAGAAGTTTTATTTTTCAGTAGCGTTCGTATGGAATATTTTTCCGAATATTTTTTGAAAATTTTTGTAGGAAATATGATACGCCACGATTTTTCTTAAATAAGACATTATTTTTAGAATTCTCATTCATTTTAGAACAAATTATGTTTTTTTGTCAGATGGACGATTATATACTCGAATCGAAGTACACACTCGGCGAGGCGACCTGAAGCGTGCCAAAAAATTAACGATTTGTACATTGTTATTGGTTAGGACCGTCCTTTTTTGTCGCGCCTCGGGTCGCCTCGGCGAGTGTGTACTTCCAGCATTAGATGCATGGCGAAATTGCTAAAACCTGATATAATGTTTTGTACGGAAAATTCGATGTTTTTAATTCGTACATATACAGGGTGGCGCACCTCATTCGCCTCGGTTGATTATACGAAAACGGAAAGATGTAGAAATAAAATAGTTTATGGGTATACGTATGTGGGAAGGCAATGTGTACAATTTAAAATTATTTTGAATTATACAGGGTGTCTATCAGAACTAAGATCCATACTAAAGTTATATTTTTTCTTATGGAACACACCCCGTATTTTATTTCATTTTTCGATTCTCGGACATAAAATAAGGCATTTATTATAAGGGTTTAATATGTTTAAAAGATTTGGTTTTTGCGATATTTAAAGATATTTAAATATGCATGCTATAATAAAAAAAATGTCAACACCTTGTACATTACTTTTCAGGATTTGTTCTTGTGCTGACATTTAAGCCAGAGAAATAAACTTTACTAAAAAATTTGTTTGCTTCCTGAACTGTATACAGGAGTATCAAAAATTGCTGGCCAATTTTAAATATTTATTTTACATAAAAACTTCGTTATTTCAAATGCAATACTATGTATTTTTTTTAAATAAGTAGAAGCAGATTTAAATGCTCTTTCAAAACTGTATTAGAATTTCCTTTACCTATCTGGCTCAGATTTTAAATAAAAAGCGATTTTTCATTTAAATTGTAATCAAGATGGCTAGTGTCGCCATGGTAATTTTCTAGTGACACTTAGTAGCTGTTTTCAAAATCGACATTAGTTTATGGGCTATATTTAAATTTATAACAGGTTATTTTGTAAGTATTTATTATTTTATCAAGAAAAATGAAGCAGTATCTGCTGGCGGAAGAAATGGATATGTTACTAGTTATTTTATTTTGTCAGGGCAATTGCTTGTTGGTCTGCAGGGTTTATGCTCAAAGATATCCAAATATTTTTCCAATGAATAATTTTCTTCACAAGTGTTCCTTTGAAAAACTACTTTTTCTATTTCGCAGAGCTGATAGTGCGGTATATGAAAAACCTATTAGGCAGAAATCTGTCGTTGAAAGTAAACAAAAGGAATTTGCCTTAATTGGTACTTTTATAGAAATTCTAATACCGCATGTTGGCTGGGAAATGACGATCGATGACACCTCCCATATAAATTTACATATAAAATGACAGCGATCTTCATTTCATAGCCATCGCTGACGCCGTTTTTTTCGATCATACGGTATATCTACAAGTCATCGTAATATAAATCAAAGAACTACCTACTTCTTTATTTTTGCTGATAAAATAATAAATACTTACGTAAAATTAAGCTATTATGGGCAAATTAAATAAAAGTAAACTGTTATAAACTTTAATAAAGTCCATAAACTAATGTCGATTTTGAAAATAGCTACTAACTGTCACTAGCAAATTCCCATGGCGCAAATACGTTTAAATAAAATATACGACGGCCTCCCCATAAGAGCAATGAGAGGATTTACGTCCCAGTATTGAAGGAGGACAGAAAATGGAGTCGAATGGTTTCAAGACATAGGTTCATCCTTGTTTAGTCAAACCTCCTACAAACCAAGGATAGACTTGAAATTCTATAGCCATCCTTCAATATCGGGACAGGAATTTAAGCGGTACCCTCCGTATACTGTATTTTAAACGTATTTGCCATGGCGACACCAGCCATCTTGATTGCCACTTCATTGAAAAATCGTTTTTGGTTCAAAATCTGAGACAGATAGGTATAGGAAACCCTAATAAAGCTTGAAAGAGCATTTAAATCTGCTTTGATTTTTTTAAAAAAATACATAGTATTGCATTTGAAATAACGAAGTTTTTATGTAAAATAAATATTTAAAATTGGCCAGCAATTTTTGATACCCCTGTATACAGTTCATGAAGCAATAACATTTTTTAGTAAAGTTTACTTCTTTGGCTTCAAAGTCAGCACAATAATTAATTCTGAAGATCAATATACAGGGTGAGACAATCTTTTTTTTATAGCATGCATATTTAAATATCTTTAAATATCTCAAAAACCAAAACTTTTAAGCATATTAAACCCTTATAATAAATGCCTTATTTTGTCCAAGAATCCAAAAATGAAATAAAATACCGGGTGTTCTATAAAAAAATATAACTTTGGTATGTATGTTAGTTCTGACACACCCTGTACATTTCAAAATAATTTTAAATTATGCACATTGCCTTCCCACATATACCCACAAAATATTTTGTTTCTACATCTTTCCGTTTTCGTATAAGCAACCGAGGCGAATGAGGTGCGCTACCCTGTATGGAGTGACTCCGAAGATATTAGGATAAAACGGTGTTTTTCGTAAAAAATGTTGATACCCCCTATCTCAAAAGCGAAGCATATGTTTATATAAGAATTTTACCTTAAAAATACAAGAAAAAATCATTCCGTTAAAATTCGGATAAATATTCAGAAAGACCCTGTATTAAGGAACATTTTATCCATGCAAGAATGTTTAAATGTGTGAAGGTAGATCGAGTATCTTACGTACATATCTCCGATCGTACGGTATTTATTGTATTGCCTCCGTATTGTTCAGCTAAGCGATCACGATCGTGTGCCAAAAGAAACAAATTATTATTGTCATTAAGACAATGCTTTATATTGCATATTTGGCTAATTGAAAATTTGTTATGTCGTTTTCCAGAGCGTTTTGTTTACGCTTAATGTTGCCAAAAGTATCCGACGATTGACAATAAGCGCGTACAGACGAATTAGATCTCTTTATGCGGCCGAAAATTCTAAAATAGAATGTTTAGGAGATGGCTTAATCACCGCGACTTTACAGATCTATTGTGTGTCCCCTTTCTTGAGTTATAACAGGTTATAAATCATTATACAGTTTCAGGGATTTGACAAAAGCCAGAATCTGAGACGGCTCCACGGAGGCCAGCTCTTCATCTTCAACCTCAGCCGTACCAAAGTTTATGGCACGAACGGTTGTCGTCTCGGTGATAAGGTGTTCCAGTGGTTTCCCATTTTCCCCACAGAATCTGCATTGGCCGTTGTTTCTCAGCTTCAATCTACTGAGGTGTTCGGTACGGGGGTGTCCTGTTATGGTTCGTATACATTGGTGCGAGACGCCGGGAACGCGCAGCGCGCGCGCCGAGCGTTGACCGTACTTACACGTACCAATAGAGGCGAACGGGCGCGCGCGCTGCGCCGCGAACGCGCGCCAATGTATACGTGCCAATGTATACGTACCATTAGAAACACCGTGACAATCCAAAAATTGTTCTTATTTAAATTAAGGAAAATCTTTGATTTTTCTCGGGCGTAAGTTCTCAGGAACTTTTTCGAGTGAAGTTCTAAAATAACTTTGCCGAGCAACTGAATGAAAGAAACCCGACAATATACGAAACGTAGTAGGTGCCTGTCAAAATTAACTGTCATCTTTAGTTAATTTAACGCCAAAGTTTTAAACCGCTTTGTTTAAAGCTATACCTAATGGATCTAAGCCGAGAAAAATTTACCATCACATCATAGGTATGGAGAATTTAAACTTGGACGGATTAGTCTTAGCGACGATCCAAGAACAGGTTCACCAACAACGACAATCGCCCAGGAAAACGTCGATGCTGTACCTAGGCTGATAAAAGAAGATCAATATGTCACATATCCTGAAATTGAAGCATCAATGGGCATTTCTAAGATTTTAATTCAAAAAATGTTACATGAATAATTATCTGTGAAAAAAATAGTTTCTCGTCAACGGAAGCAATTAGAGTCAATTGGTGTCAAAAATTCTACAGCGGTTTAACACAGGAAACTCAAAAAACATATACAGTATTGTCAGTGGTGATCAATCCTGGATTAAATGATGGCTAATCCTAATTAACTGATGGTTAGTCTTCTAATAAACCCGAAAATAAACGTCAATCGACTGTTTGGGTGTTATCCGTTTTCGAAGTGTTTCCAAAAAGATGGTGGCGACATTTGCTTCAAAAGCGGGTCATGTAGCAACAATTCCTCTACAAGTTCAAAGCACTGTTACAGTTGGGTACATATCTATTTGTTTGCCGGAAGTAATTGCTGAGTTTCGAAAAACCAACACTCAACGAGGAATGATCCTCCACCAAGACGATACATAGCCATACAACTTGAAAAAAAATGGGGTTTTAAAGCAAGAAACATCGAATTGTTGGACCATCCATGTTCGAAATGTTTCAGTAACCAGAAGATGCAGTCAGCGCTTTAAAAAATGCAATTTTGAAGGTACCAACTAGCGAGTGAAATAACCGCGGGAATAACTGATTTCAGCTCCGTTGTTCCAAACAATAGTGTTTAAAAGTTAACCATTAAGGCAGGAACACTAAGTGTCTACGGATAGTCGTATTTGAGTCATGTTTCATGGCTAATCTTACTGTAGGTTTGCCCAATAATTTCATTCTTCTTGTTTAAAAGTTATATAGGTACTGTTTTTTTCTGCACAATTGATCACATACATACACTAAGAGAAACTATCAACCGAACAAAAGAATACGAAATTCCACTAGCCATAGCTTTTATAGACTTTG